ATAGGACAGGGGAGAGAGCGTCTGGCGGCCCCGCACAGTAGGACGTGATAGTTGGCGACTAACTGTGTATTTCAACATGGCAAGTAGAGCAGATCTTGAACTTTCAGACACAGAATGTGCTGGAGGTAACGGGCTGCCGGTTGCCCGGATTTGCTCGCCAAACATTATACGCATGCGCTGCAGCGTCTGTTACTCAATTACCACGCGTAAAATTATATCTTTAAGTGTTAAAAATCCAGGGATTCAGCCTCGCTCTGCAGGCCGCCTTGTCTCCCACGTGTTGATGAGTATGACCGGAGCCACACCATCTAGGGGGAAAAGGCCCTCCCCGCCGGAGACGCGGTCCAACCACCAGCACCTGCGGGGGATTCCTCCCACCTGTAGGCTCCTTGAGCAGAAGAGCATTTTTACTATTAGTAACATCACTGCTCATGAATGCAGTTACTACCCATTTTTTGAAAATTAATTTTAAAGGGGCTGCGGCAGCAGGCACGTAGTTTGAAGCAGCAGTTCTCAAAGGGCAGTCCCTGAGCCCGAAACAGGGCCCCTCCTCTTCCGAAAGGCACATCCGCAACCCCCTCCTCCCGCCCCGCCCCCCTCTGCGGTAGATTCTGACCATCCTGAGACTGCTCTTTTCCTTTGAGGCGCCGGAAGTCAGGAGACAGATGACAGTCCGCGCTGTTTTCTAAAGAGGCTTGCTTAAAGTATAAAGCTCTCCTCTTGCTTTACATCAAAATGAAGTACTCTCACCGTGTACTAACTAAAATCAGAATGGATCAAGGATCTGAATATTAAAACAGAAACAATCCACTGGAAGGTAAAATAGGTAAAACTCTTGAAGACACTGGTGTAGGCAGAGACCTTCGGAACACAACCCCAGTTGCACAAGAAATAACATCAATAAGCAACCAATGGGATTCCATCAAATTAAAATTTTCTGCACAGCAAAGGATGCCACCAAGCTACAAAAGGGAAGAAAATTCTGCCAGCTGCTCCTCAGACAGAGGACTCATATCTAGAATGTACAATGAACTCAACACTTACACCCGCCCCCAAATAAAACCCTAATCAAAAAAATGGGCAACTGAAATGAACAGACACTTCTCGGAAAAAGGACAAATGGCTGATGAACACGTGAAGAAATCGTCAACATTGATGATCCTTAAAGAAATGCAAATTAAAACAACACCAAGGTTCCTTCTTACCCCAGAAAGAAAGGCCAGTCATCAAGAAATCAAAGAATCGCAAATGCTGGGAAGGCTGTGGGGAGGTGGGGAGGAGCCCTTTTACACTGTTGCCATGAATGTAAACTAGTACAGACACTGTGGAAATCAGCGTGGAGATTCCTCAAAAACTAAAAATATACATCCCATTTGACCCAGCTATTCCATGTCTAGGTATGTTCCTGAAAGAGTCAAAGGCATCATATTATAGTTATCCATGCACACCCGTGTTTATAGCAGCATAATTCTTAATAGCTAAATCTTGGAAGCGGCCTATATGTCCATCCACAAATGAGTGGACAAAGAAAATGTGGTAGTTAGAGGCGGTGGAGCACTACTGTGCCATAAAGAAGGATAAACGTGAGTCATCGGTAGGAGAATGGATGTACCTTGAGACCATAATGTTAAGTGAAGTAAATCAGACACATGGGCTTAAATATCACATGGGTTCTCTTACATGAGAAACCTAAAGTATAAGTAAATTAAAGAGAAAAATAAAAGAAAACAGGAAATAGGAAGGTAGATCTCTCGCAAAAGGGAAAGGGCCCAAGAGATGCAGCGGGGAGGGAGGGAAAGGAACACGAGAGTTAAGGTGTGTTACGCACTGTCCCCACTCCCACGATGAAAGCAGTCATTACACACTGCAAGCACGGACGCGTAAAAATTAAAAATAAATAAGAACAAAAATTTCCAAACTTGAAAAAACACCCAAACACTGAAGTGAAAAGCCGGCAAATAGTACAGGCAGATGATTCTGCTGGATTCAGCCAGTGATCCCCGGGCATCTGTTTTGCCAGCCACGGGGTGCTACCTCGTTTATCTATCACCCCGACAACCTTGTGAGCTACAGGCTCTTATCCTTATTCTCAGAGGTGGGGAAATTAACCTCCAGAAAAGAAAAGCCAAGCTGGGCAACAGTGAGGCCAAGACCCAAACTCGCCTGAATTTCATCCTAGGCTCTTTACCCAGCTGTGTCAGGATGTGTGTGTGTGTGTGTGTGTGTGTGTACACCCATGCAGGCTTTCACACACATGCCCGTCAGTGGTTTGTGTGCATTCTTATATAAATAGGGAGGAGCAATAAAGACTGCATATATTTGATAGGGAAAGAAGAACATCTAGGTATCAGTCCACAAAAATCATAGCCTGGAGTTTGCAAAACATTCTCATGACTCTGTGACCTAGTCCAAAGAACAGGCAGGAAATCAGCAGCGAGTTATCTACATAAATTATTAGGATTCCAGGGTTCATAGGCCAACACCAAGGCCAATATCCAGCCTAACATCTCAGGCACATGGCAGCCGCTGGTCCCCGGAGCTAGATGTAGGAATTAGGCGAACCCAAGATGATTTGAAGTAGACTCCAAATGATAGGATACCACAGGAAACAATTCAGCCAGGCATCCAAAGTCAGTTTAGCAGACACACTGTAGAGATAACTGAGCTGCCTCCCGGCCGGCAGCCTCACAAACCTGAGCTGTCACCTTCCTTCCCTGGGTCCCCAACTCCGAATGGCCTCCCTCCCTCTGGAACCTCCGCTCACAGAGCTTCTCTCTCAGTACCGCTTCCTAGTCTACCCACGCACTGCAAGACACACCCCAAACCGGAAACTCAACCAAACTCAAATACAGAATACCTCTCAGAGTGAACACATCTCAGTGGAATGCAAATGGCGATTATAGGGGCATGTGAAAATGTAATGCATTTAGGACAAAGTAAAGAAGCAAATGAGCTAGGTGTGATGGTGCACCCCTATGATCCCAGCACTCAAGGGAGGCTGAGGCAGGAGGCTCACAAGTTTGACCGGAGCCTGGGCAATTTAATGACTTAGTGAAACTATGTCTCAAAATAAAATAAAAATAGGCTGTCGATGTAGCTCAGTGTGAAGGCCTTCAGTTTGATCCAGAGAGAGAGAGAGAGACACCAACTGGTAGGGATGTATAACTACAGTGATATAAATATGTGCTGTCATATACGGACATATCACATGCAGAAGATATGGCAAAAATAGCTCTACTGGATGGTGGAGACGTTGGTTCTTTTTGTCTCAGAGTTCTTTAGTAAGATGTCACAGCCAGCTCTGTGACCTGGCTCCTGCCCGTGGTGCTGCTGCCTGTCACCAGCAGGTCTCAGCCTCCAGGGGACAGGGCTACCTTCTCTGAGAGGGACCCCCCACACCTCACTCTCCACGACTTTCCCTCCACCTCAGCCTGGCAGCATGAACCACACTGCAAGCTCCACGAACCCGGCCACACACCCACAGCCGAGAGCCCAGCAGGGACCTGGAGCCCTCAGTGCTGGCCACGGGAGGATTGCACAGTCGGCCAGCAGAGAGCATGCGCCTGACACACACACACACACACACACACACACACACACAC